ATTATTTATACAGAAATTTGTGTAGTTTGTATGCGTGAATAAAGTTGTAAGTGAAATGTGAGAGATTATGTTGATGTTTGAAGATAACGATAGACATTGCATTTAATCATTTCATCCCAAGCAAGGCAAAAAATCTACTAATACGTAAGGAGATACTGAGTGTGAAAAAATATGAGAAAAAGAAAAACACTATTAAGAAGAGAGAACAATAAAAGAAGAGAAATTAAGAAGACAGAAGATAACGATTGATATTTGCATTTGAATTTTTGAAGATCAATGTTGACTGGAAATCAAAAAGCCAGAAGAAAATTCCACAGGCGAGAAGTGTGAGAAAAGTAACCTAACAAAGAACTTATCTATCCAATTCAAGCGTAAAAAGATGGCGTAACCGCCAAAATAGTACTACACTTAAATTCAGAAAGTCTAGGGGCCATGGAGGAAAGTAAAACAAGGTAAAACGGTGAGGATAAAGAAAGGCTGGTCTTCAATCTGTTTTATCTTAAACTTAGCTAGACACGATTACAGACCCAAACATACCACAGTATTCCTGTCACCAAACCAACACATTTTTACTTGCCATTCTTACTACAGCCACCATAATGCCTCAGGGTCTCTATGTATTCCTAACTATTCTCCATATGTACAATTTGTCTGGGGAGGAAGGGAATAAAAATAACAAAATTTAAAAAAACGAGGAAAGTTCATCAGAACAATTACTATGAAAGTATTTGTAGAAAAGACACAGGGAAGCTACGTTACGGCGGCGGGAAGAAAGTGACTGAAGGTGACATGCCAGGTCAGGCGTAATAACATTGCAGATTCTTTTGTGGGGTTTTATCAAGAATCCCTAAATATATAACAGGACCATCAGACCATATGTGGCAGCAGTATTCAAAGATTTATAAATCTGTAAGGTAGATTCTGGCGAGAAAATTTGTCTAGCACGACACCGAAAACCAACTTTCCTAGCAGAAGACACAGCAATTAATTCAATATAACCTTTCCACTTCATGACAGCGGAAAACGTTAGTGCAAAAAAACGCAATGAGTCACTCTCCTGGAGGTTAACACTTCTCAATTAATTTCAAATGAAAGGTTAGAATTTTTTTTAATTGGAGGCGGAGAAAAACCTGAAAAGTAATTTTCTTTTTCTACTCATTTAAGAAATGGATAAAAAAAATTATTTATAATGCACAAAGTATTTTTCCGGTATTGGAAAAAAATTATTATTGATTTATCTAACTTACATTGGGTGAAGTTATGTTATCATTGAGGATTTCAGATTTTAAAAGAATATTTACATATTTAAATATTTAATAACTCAGCTGCGAAAAACAAATAATAAAAAAATAAAAATTATATTAGTAAATCGTCTTTTGTTGTTTTCTTTTTTCAGAGTTAAACCAGGATATTTATTTGAAAGATTTCACGAGTTAAAACATTAAATAAACACCAGTTAAAAAATGACATATTTGGTTAAGGTTTTTCACAGGTGAATCTTTAAATATATCAATATGTAGTGGACCCCTGGAGAAGGGCGCGATATGAAATGGCCCGAGCGCCCCGAATCGAAATGAGGTTACAAGAGGCCCACTAACATTAAAGACGTGAAATCTGAGAGGTGAAACAAAATGAACAGAGTGAGGATATTAAAGATTAATACAAAGTCGACGGTAGGAACATTAATGTGAGGGCGTTGCTTACATGCTGGTTGAGATCTCTCACACCATTCCTCACCACCTTCTATATCAACTTATATAAGATTAATACTGCCCGTCAAAAGTGTAAATTTTAAATTCATTTTTCGTTCCACCTTTGAAAGTGAAGTCTGAAGATCCAGAGAAAAATCAAATTCTCTGGTTGAATAAATTATTACAATGGAGCCTTAAAGTGGTCTGTTTTTTTTTTTTAATGAAATATATATATATATATATATATATATATATATATATATATATGAAGAAAAATATACTGAAAAAACAAACAAAAATCCTAATATGCGATTATGCTGTTTTAATGACATTAGTCAACGTCGGACGTTTCGGTCTAATAGACCATCTTCAGGACATATTCATAAAACATAATTAACATAGACCATATACAATTCAACATGAAAAGACGACGTGATCATATTTAAACGGAACGCTGATCTTATAAAAGATTTCAGTTATCTGTTCGGATTGGTATTGCTTTTATGTCCATCGTCTTTTTCATGTTGAATTGTATATGGTATATGTTAATTATGTTTTATGAATATGTCCTGAAGATGGTCTATTAGACCGAAACGTCCGACGTTGACATTAAACATTAAAAACAGCATAATCGCATATTAGGATTTTTGTTTGTTTTTTCAGTATATTTTCTTCATACTGTCAGATCTATATTCATATATTTGCTTATATATATATATATATATAGAGAGAGAGAGAGAGAGAGAGAGAGATAGAGATAGATAGATAGATAGATAGATAGATAGATATGTGTGCGTGTGTGTTTGTCTGTGGGCTATACGTGTATGAATAAAGACAAAAACTTATCAGTCGTCACTAGGGTGTATATATGTGTGTGTGTGTGTGTGTGTGTGTGTGTGTGTGTGTGTGTGTGTGTGTGTGTGTGTGTGTGTGTGAAAAGACTTTTAATGTCACACCAACTAAATAGTATTCTTAAAACTGGAAACATTTTATTAATCACAAAATTCCCGGATACAAAAGTATCGTCTCAATTATAAATAGAAGTTTTAAGATACCTTTCGACTGACGTTTCATCAAAATAAAAATCGTCAGAATTAAGAAAAGATACTGAAAGGAAACAATTTGCAATAGAATTAAGAGAGATAAGGTGGCGACGAGTGAAAAATTTTTTTTAAAAATTAAAGTTTGCCAGAACGAGGCAAAGACTCGCCAAAGCGTTCCAGTTTATGTCTCAGCTCCCTCTACCTACACATAGTCGGACGAGACGCGTTGATAACAACCGCCTCCAATATCAGATGTCATGGTTTTTGTTACGTCACAAGGCACGACAGCCCCTGCGAGACCAACATGCAAGGAGCCGTTGAAGGCGCACAACATCAAAGAGTGGACGGATATGACAGTACAGGAAGTCCTGACAGCCACCACCAACAAATCATTCAGGAGGATGTTGTCTGTTTCTTCTACCCTGATGTCTTCTGGGAGAACTGAAGCAATCAAGGGACTGATGATGATGATGATGATGATGATGATGATGATGACGACGACGACGACAGTGAAAAAAGATAAAAAGAAATGTTTCACAGAAAAAAAAAAAACGGATTTTGGGAGGAAAAAAAACACAAAGGTCATGGGAACAGAAAGATTTGTTTGTTTAGCGGCATATCAACTCCTTATGGGTCATTTAATGCCGAAATTTATTTTTCTTAAATGCATTAGTAATTTCTTTTACAGAAAAATGTATTACTGATAGTCTGTTTTTTTTTTCAAGAATATATTGCTAGTAATTTTTTTAACTATGTATATGTGTTGCTGATATGTTTACCATAAAAATCTATTTTTATACCTTCATAGTGTTTTGACCCTAATTTGGTGGTTCACTATTTGTCCATAGCTGGGACCCTAACAGGTGCTACCATCCCAGGTTAGAGTGGAACTGGAGCAATAACAATATGTGGTCCCACGCTCTTCAAAACTTCACCATTAGAGTCCTTGTTGTCGGATGTAGTTTATCGTCATACCCAGGACGTAGAACAAAAAGAATATTTAATAAGTTTATACATACAATACGTAACATAAGTAATTTTTGCATTACTTATATTATAAGCAATTCAAAAATCATAAACTGAAAGGCAAGAATATACTGTACATATAAATAGCCTACCGCTCAAATCTTTTTTTAAATCTGTTTTGAAAAAGTTAGACACACTAAGCACATGGCTTCCATGTTTAAGTCCTTGTCTTTTTAAATTGTATGTTAATCTTACTTATTATAAAACGCAGATTGTGTGTGTGTGTGTGTGTGTGTGTGTGTGTGTGTGTGTGTGTGTGTGTGTGTGTGTGTATTGGATCGGATTTCCTACATTTTTCAACCGATTTCAACAAAACTTCACAGGACTACGTAAAATTACCTTGCGGTGGTTCTGACAGCGCCAAAAATTGGAAAAACACAATTGTTTTTGCACGAAATCAATTTGAAAACACGATTAAGAGGCGTTACGAGAATGAAGGGGGACAACTCATATCGAGTTATACTTATTATAAAAACCAGGTTGTTTGTGTGTGTGTGTGTGTGTGTGTGTGTGTGTGTGTGTGTGTGTGTGTGTGTGTGTGTGTTCGTTTATATATGGGATCGGATTTCATACATTTTTCAACCGATTTCAACAAAACTTCACTTTTTTTTTTTGGCAGGTAGTGTTTCTTATTGTCTTGCACCCTTTTTCTTTATTTTTAAATTCAGAATGCTTTAAAAATTTCATTTACAAGACAATGGTTTATAATAAAATTCTATTCAATCGGTAGACTCGTAACGATTGAAAACAATGTTTTTGTTTGAGTTTAGGTTTGACCAATTCGTAAAACAAAAAAAAATCTAATTAAGACATGCGTGTCCATCAACCTTAAACAATAATTTGTCAATTTTATTTTTCAGTCTTTATGATGGTCGATACTTGATCTATCTCTTACTGTTACATCCCTGGGCAACGCCGGGCTCTACTGCTAGTCTTTAATAAGGAGGAGATAAACCTTTCTTCTTTGCTTTCCCTAAGCCATCACATACAGAGCCTATCATTGAAAAAGTTACCAAGACATGCCAAGCACAGTTTTCCCATAAGCATACTTAAATATGCAATGTGATAGTTTTAAAAATGCTTATTTCAAGAGACTTCAAGAGACTATTTTCTTATTTTCAAATTTCATGACTAATTTGTCCGTATTAAAATTGAAAATGCGCCACAGAATTTTAGTAAAAAAAAAAAAAAAGTGAGGAAACACTGCTGTAACCAAATATCTTTTTTCCTTTCTTCGTAGATGACGAGCAACCTGACCTTGATCGACCTGAACAATGCCGAAGTGCATCTCTACTGGCCTGTAATTTTATTTGTGGCTTTACTTATGGTTGTCGGGACCCCAGGGAACCTGCTGGTGATCATTATATACCACCGACGTTTTAAGCGTGTATCTAATTCACATTATTTTATTGAAGCTCTCGCCTTTTTTGATTTATTCGCTTGTGTACTGGGAATGCCAACAGAAATTTACGATCTCTGGTAAGCAACAATTTGAGCCTAAAATTTAGGACTTTCAAATTTGTATTGATGGCCATTATCTTATTGAAATGTGCAGCAAATGTTTTAACGAACCTTGTAGATATTATTGATTGAAGTTTATAGTCATTACCTTATTGAAAATTATAGCCATTACCTTATTGAAAATTATAGCCATTATGTTATTAATATCGATATTTACTTGATCCCCCCGACCCCACCCGACCTGAGTCAGGTTGTGACACAAGGTCAGTTTTTAACGTAGGGACCCGAGTGTTTTCACTCGGGCCGCTGGTCTAAGCTGGTCTTAACTGGTCTTAGCTGGTCATAGCTTGTCCAAGCTAGTCCAAGCTGGTCCAAGCTGGTCAGAGCTGGTCTAAGCTAGTCGTAGCCGTGATACCACCAGCACAGGGACGGATCCCCGTGCCAGGTAAGTATCCTATTAATATGTAGAGCAATTGTATTAATGAACCTTTTAGACATTACCTTATAAAGTTTATAGACATCACCTTATTGAAAATTATAGCCATTACCTTATTGAACCTTATAGTCATTATCTTATTGAAATGTATAGCAACTTTTTTAATGAACCTTGTAAACATTACCTTATTGAAATGTTGTGTTGCCTTCTCTCTAAAGATTTTATGTTGCACTCTTCCGCCTACTTTAAGATTAGTAGGAGAGAAGGCCTTGCGGGGAAAGTCGAATAGATTAAAGCGCTTTAAGATCGGTGAAAATTTTTTTATTTTGGTGTATTTGGGAATAATAAAGCTCGCTGGGAGATTGGAACAATAGACAAATTGGCAACATGATTTACATGGTTCAGGGACCGAAGTTTATACACAAACGTCATATAAACCAAATTAGAAAACGGTATGAAAGCGTAGTCGACAGGGATCCCATAGAAGATGACACTATGGACGTAATCTTTGACACGTTTAAGGTTCCAATACCGCAATCAGTGCCAGAGCTCAGAAGGCCCAAAAGAAAAAGGAAATTTACGGAACATTTAGAAATTAACCCAAAAAGAAAAAGATATTTTTCATTTCATACCATGTCTACAGAAAAAGGAAAAGAATGAGTATAAAAAAAACATCTCCTCACTTATGAACTTTGAATTACCAAAAAAGCACAATACGCATTAGATTACTGGAAATTATTAACATTATAATTTACCATTAAACGTATCTAATTTTTCATTGTTTAGGAATAATGAGTAGACCTTAATAAAAGTGAATGTTGTTAACACGTAAAATTAAAAAAAAATCGTGAACGTAATTCCTGTATATAGCTTTTTCAAAGTGGTTGTTTCTGGGGGGTTGGGTTTTTTTTGTGAAAAAGGGTTTATTTGGTTTAATATAAAGTATTGTGTGGTAATTAAAAAAAAAAAAGACACCATACGGAGTCAGGCGGAAAAGGGGGGGTTGTGGTGTCCTCCCTCTAAAGAGTCTATGTTGGTCTTTCCGCCTACCATAAGATTAGTAGGAGAGAAGGCTTTAGGGGAACAGTCGAGTAGATTGAACGCTGGTCAACCAACACACGCTCACTAATCATGTAGTACTCTTCTTTTGTATTTACTGTTTAATATATGATATATCTCTAACACTTGTTTTGTTATTTCTTAAACCATTTACTTGGTCACAACATGAGGCTTTTAGCAATTACCTTATTGAAAATTATAGCCTTTACCTTCTTGAACTTTATAGCCATTATCTTATTGAAATGTAGAGCAACAGTTTTAATGAACCTTGTAAACATTACTTTATTGACGCTTTTAGTCATTACCTCATTGAAAATTATAGCCATTACCTTATTGAAACTTATAGTCATTATCTTATTGAAATATAGAGCAATTGCTTTAATGAACCTTGAAGACATTATCTTAGTGAAACTTATAGTCATTACCTTAAAGATAAAATTCTAATAATTTATTCTTCGCTGTTAAAAAGGAAAAAAAATTCTTAAAAAATATTTTTTACCATGAATTCGTATATTAAATTAAATTAAAGAAATTATTAAGCCGTGAAGAAATCGATTCATAGCAAGGGTATTAGCACGTAAGTGAACGTAATGGATTCGACTGGAATTCGAACTCGTCTCTCCTATTCCTCAATCCGAGGCACTATCCATTACTTCATCGTGCCTACTCTTAAAGATTAAAGATTAAATTAAAGATTATAAATGCATAATAATATAACGAAAATTATAATATAATAAAGAAAGAAAAATATAAGAATAAATGGATAATTAAGATAAGCAAGGCGTCTATTCTAAAATACGATATTACGTTCTTTGAGCGATAGCAAGACACATCCGTTCACTCCGACAGCAGTGACTCATAAATAAATAAATAAATAAATTCTATATATACATAAATAAAAATTATATTTTTCTAAAATATCCCACCAACCATAAGAACTTTCTTGCGACCATTATTTTGGGAAACACGAGTAAAGAACTCTAAGATGGAGACGTCAAAATCAAAGTATAGGGTGCGGCAGAAATACCTCCCACATATACCTCTCACATAATAATAAGACTAACCGTTTGAGCGCTGACCACCACTTTATCGACAGTAGAGAAAAATGACTTAATGGCCAGCCACCGCGTGTTTTTCTACTGGTTGTCTTATTTTCATAAGAGCCAATCAGAAAGGCCGTAATATTTTGATGTCATCGAACGTTATACCAACATGTCCGCGTCTTTTCATTATGTTTTGTGCATGTGTTTTGGATAAAAAAAGATCGTTTTTATTATGAAGCGAGCAGAGTCTCAACCTGCTAAGTATAATGCTTATATTTTTTATAACTTTTTTTTTTTATATCTACCGTGAAAAATTACATACCAATTATTTGCGAATTTTGACTCAGGAGCTCAGGCAAAAGGGTTAAAATTGTTCAGGAACGCAGGACTCAAAGCGTTAAGACTCTAATGTTTTAGTATTATGTGGAGGGTATTTCTGGAAGGTATATGTGGGAGGTATTTCTGCTGCATCCTATATTTTAAAATATTTTTCCAGTATTTTATTTTTTCATTTCTATAATTTTGTTGTTTCTTCAGCTCGTATATAAAAAAAAAAACTAACACCGTTTTTTCTTCTTCTTTTTTTCAGCAACCCTCTTAATTTCCGTAATGAATTCGTCTGCAAGTTTTTCCGTTTCTCAGAAACATTTACCGTAATAGGTTCGAGCATGATTCTTGGAGAGGTGGCCATCGATCGCTTTTGGAAGGTTTGCAAGCCTCATAAGAAAGTAACAATTTTCCACATTAAAATCATGTGTGGTATAGCCGCCTTTATTGGTCTTTTTTTCAGTCTGCCAACAGTTTTTATCTACGGCACATATAAAGTTCAACTCACCGATACGGTCGTCGGTGAGGACTGTTCCATCGAAGGGGAATATAGACGCACGTCATGGCCAAGAAATTACTTCATTTTTCTTTGTAGCATTTTCGTTATCCTTTGCATTCTCCTCACTGTACTCTATATATTACTCTATCTGTCTGTACGCGATCGACGCCGGAGGAACGCTAGTAGACAATTTAGCAGCGAACAAGAACAAGAAAAAATGGCTGGTCAAGAAATGGAATTCAAAGCTAATTCTTTGAAACGTTCCCAGAAAGAATCACAAAGCCCTTGTCCAAAAAGCCCCAAAAGTCCCAAGAATCAGAAAAGCCCTTCGTTTCCAATGATGCGAGCAAGAGTCGCCAGTCTTTCAGGACGCATGCGCATGAAGGTCAGCCGCACTACTGTGATTCTGTTCATTGTAACCATTGTATTTGTTATCAGTTATTTCCCTTCGTTGGTCGTCATGATCTGCAAAACCGTAATGTACAAAAAGGTTGCCAAATCCGGTATTCACCTGAAGGTTATTATCAAAATTTTCTCGAAATTCTATTTGATCAACAACGCTTGCAATCCCATCATCTACAGTTTTCTCAACCCTTACTTCCGGAATGAATGTATCCGTCTCTTCAGTGAAATTGGTTGCTCAAAATGTTGCAAAGTTGAACCAAGTGGAGATTCTTTGTCAGGAAGCAATTAAACCTGTTACGGATAAAACAGTTCCTTTTAAAAGTCAAATGGTGACTTATCGTGATTTAGGGGAGCTATTTTTTTTAGCTTCGTTTATTCTAGGAATAACGCGTTAGTCATTGAAGAGTCGCCATCTTGTAACAAACTTATTCGACTCGCTGACTTCAGTGGGTGAAAAAAAATCATAAGCTCAAAGAAAATACTCTGAGAAAAATTTGAAAAATATGCTCTTTAAGTCACCACCAGGATAACAAAAGATGTAATGACAAAAATGAATATTTGATATTACTCAGAAAAAGAGGCATTTTGAAACCTTTCGAAATTTAAACTGTATTATACGCTATTATATCAGATGGAATTCATGAAAACCAGTTGAATGTTTGATTTTTTATTTGTTGTCTGCGATTCGCTCTGTACGAGCATTTTCAAAACACCTGAAAAAATCTAATGAAAACACCGTTACCATGGAAACCTTGCTACTTAAAACCGTTGTGGTTAATTTGAAAAAAATTTTAACGGCTAATAGAAATTTTTGTTGTTAAATGTTGGCAACTTATTTAAAAGTTTGTAAATACCTCTAATTGCATATAAAGATTTTACCAGCGGGGCATTTTATCTTTTGTAAAAGACGATCAGGAATGTTTGACTTGGGACGTTGATATTTATAACATTGATGTATGATGTCTCCGAGGAATCAAAATCAAAGAAGGACTTGATATTAATGTCGAAATTAGACAGCATAAGTTAATAGATTTGGAAAGAGACAGTAAATATTATAGAAATTGTTTTGTCATCCATATCAAATGGAAGAATAATATCCATAGACATTGAAAGAACAACCATAATTTGCTCATTGAGAAACACGAACAGAACTATCAATAATGAAGTCCTATCATTCCCTGTAAAAACTTTGAAGAGCCTGGAAAACCTACAATATGTTCATAAGTTAGCAAAAGTCGGGGAAGTTATTTACAAAGTTGCTCCAGATGAGAAATCGAACTGACTTGTAGTGTGCCCTCAAGTCGAAACAACTCGGATGATTATGATGATGATGATGATGATGACGACTATCTTAAATGTAAATTTAAACACATAAGGTTATTTTTATCAATTATATTTTTTTCTATGTGGATAAATACTCGTTGCTCTCAATAAATCTTCTACACTTGCCTTTGATGAAATTCCTTAAGGAAGAAAACGTGTTACAAAAATAATTTTTCCTCACGTCATTTCTTTTTATTAATATTGTCTTCGCAGATATATTTATTTATATCCCAATTTCTACATACATGCATTCATATATATATATATATATATATATATATATATATATATATATATATATATATATATATACTTGTAAAATGAGAACGAATATAATCCAATTCCGACATTCATAACATTCAATTTAAAAGAAGGATCAATATATATATATATATATATATATATATATATATATATATATATATATATGCTATTTTTATATATATCTTATATATATAACGTTTGCTACAGACTGTAAATCTTATAGAAATGGTTTTGTCATCAATATCAAATGGAAGAATAACATCCATAGACATTGGACAAACAATCAAGGTATACACATTGAACAATGAAATTAAAAGAATTGTCAATATAATCCCATCATGCACCGTAAAACTTCAAATAGTTTTGAAGACCTATAGCATTTTCATGATTGACTGAAGGACATTGTGGTTTAAAGAAAACTGATAAGTCTTACAACGTTAATGAAGATGAGGAATTTTGATGTAATATTATCTAACGTTTATTATATTCAAGTGTTTCTGCTTTATATTATATTTATAATACCTCATCTCAAAAATATAGACAAAATCCCATCATGCACCGTAAAATTTTGAAGAGTTTTGAGGACCTATAGCATTTTCATGATTGACCAAAGGACATTGAGGTTTAAAGAAAACTGATAAGTCTTACAACGTTAATGAAGATGAGGAATTTTGATGTAATATTATCTAACGTTTATTATATTCAAGTGTTTCTGCTTTATATTTATTGCTTATGCGAAAGTCAAACATTAAAAAAGTTATTTTTGTGATGACGTAAGATGTTTGAAATAATTCTATCAGAGACGTAAAATTAATGTGATAGATACAATTTTTAAATTTGTTCAGTTATACTGGAAACTATTTGGACCTGTGCTGCGACTAAATAGACAAACGGCTTCTCATAAAGATTTGCTGTTTTACTTTTAGAATACCAATACAGTATACTTTCGCAAAAGATCTCGAACGACAGTAGAATACACATTGAACCAAAGAACTATCAATATAATTCCATCATTCCCTGTAAAAACTTTGAAGAGCTTCGAAGACTTGCAGCACTTCCGTAAATTAGTATAGTTTAGACCAGTGTTTCTCAACACTTTTCTGTTCATGGCCCCCTTTTGATTGATGATTTTTGATGCCAAAGCTCCCCACCGCCGCTTTATAGCCGTCTACTTATGCAAAAGCTCATTTTACAATTTCCGGAACAAATAAACACTGATATTCCACCATATTAACTTAAAAAATGCTTATTGTAAAAACCAAACCAGTTAGATAAAATAAACGTTCATTTTAACAAAGAAGTTATGCACATAAATTTTACATAAATGCACACTAATAAAATAAAAGACACTGAAATTATTTTATTCAATAATTTATGTTTATTAAAACTAAAATATAGAGGACAACAGGATTTTAGCACTCTGGCTAATTTTATTGAATTTTGGTCTCTCTTGTTTTTCCGTAGCCTCCATAAAATTTACTAGCCTCGCTTCCCTTTTAGCTATGTTAACCCCGATTAAGAACCACTGGTTTAGATAAATGGATACAAAAAAGGCTTTTCTTAATCTTCATGGAATTTCGAACTTAAACACTTTATGTAATCTACGAGAGAAGATTCTTTTCTACTGACCATGTCTACCCTTCGAAACTACACGTTTTAATGTGAAAATTATTTAATCCGGGGCAACCAGTGAGGATTTTGTTCAATAACAAGCTGAAATACCCCTTGACATAGACAGTGGAAGGGGAACAATATACCCACAAGATTAAATAAAGTGGTCCGTTCGAAACTCATTCAAGTTACACGGAAAGACAGACACCTGAAGAATGCCGAAACGCATAACGGCCGAATCGTTGTGATAACAATAAACCCAGAAAGTTCAATGTCTGAAGTTTATTTTTTGTGTCTTATATTTTTATCGTATAATAAAAACTAGCAGTATAACCCGCCTTCGACCGGGTGTTTCCGAAAATCAATATTAATAACAATTGTGTTAAGCGTTGCATGGGATCTCCAACGGAAAGCAATACATTTTGCTACAAAAATGTTAAAATCAAGAGTAGGAAAGTTAACAAAATCAACGGATGAAAGATTGATGAGGGTTCTAGAATGTCAATTAGCCAATATTATAATGTAAAATAATAAAAGAATTTAGTCACGTAGACGAGATATTATGTTAATCAAATGTGACTGCATGTCTTATACGTTTTGAATTTATATATATATATAGTTTGCATTAATAAAAAACTGACACCACCAAAATCACTATTTTTAAAAACTAAGGATGAATATTATAAACTAGCAGTATAACCTGCCTTCGACCGGGTATTTCATTACTGGGAATTTTGGCTGTTCAACTGGAGCAGTTTAAGTTTAAAGTCAGCCCACACGAAAATCAATATTAATAACAACAACTGGGTGCAACTGAGGCACATCCCCAAATAGGGGCGGGGAGGGGGTAACAATTTGAATTTCTGAATAAAATCATTTTTGCGTTCTCAATCTTGCAAGAAATCCATGGATCGTCATAATAATAATATACAATAATTTTTATTTATAATATAATTTTTTTTATAATTCTAATAATCTTTTGTGTTAGATTTCAACTCTCCAAATTGATTGTACGCTATTTTTTTACAGACATTATATTTTACCTTTGATTTTTGCGCAAAGTGTAAAAAATCAGTTTTTTCGACTTTTTACCTTCAAGGTTGTAATTTTTTCCCGCCAATTTGGACTCAAAACCGACACTGAAGAATTATCTAACAAACAAAAAAAAATTTAATTGAAATCGAATGAAAACTGTGGAAACGCATAAACAACATCCGATCACACTCATACACACACACACACACACACACACACACACACATATTTTGAGAATTATAGATATAGATGTAATTGAAATAGAATAAAAAAAACGCCTGAATCATTATAAATGTCATTAAACTAGACTAGACTATGTCGTCTGTCAGGACGCTCCATTGCAGCCACACCCTTCTTCCATTCAGCACAGTCTACTATGATGGTCTTTTAGCTCTTGTGACGTCTCCATCTCCGTGTCTACTGGCAGCGTGTCTACCAATGTGGGTCCTCTTCCGCTTTTTTGTTCTACCTTCGCTTGTGATAGAATACTAATTTGCTGGCAACTTCATCGTCCTAGCTGATAACAGCATCCTGTTAGATTCATCCTACCAGACGCATAATGCTTGATGCATCCTGCCAGACGCATCCTGCTAGATGCATCCTGCCAGATGCATCCTGCCAGACGCATACTGCCAGATGCACCCTTCTATGCTGCAAATTTGATTTTACCTTTAGTATCTCACTGTATAGTTCAGCATTTGATGTTTGACTTCTCCAGGTTACAATGTGTCACCCTGGGCATTCTAGTGTAACACTCACCTACCTGTTTCTTCAGATATTTGGCCATAGTCCACGTCTCTAATCCAGGAGCCATGAAATATCTGGAGCATTCTTATGTAATACTCCCCTAGATGTTTCTTCAGAGATTTGGCCATAGTCCACGTCTCTAATCCAGGAGCCATGAAATATCTGGAGCATTCTTATGTAATACTCCCTCAGCTGTTTCTTCAGATATTTGGCCATAGTCCACGTCTCTAATCCAGGAGCCATGAAATATCTGGAGCATTCTTATGTAATACTCCCTCAGCTGTTTCTTCAGATATTTGGCCATAGTCC